CGTCCTACTTGAGGTTCATCAGGTAGGTGCAGTTCCCGAGTTTCCGTCAAACTTAGGTTTTACTTGAACCCGAATTGCATGAAATTAACGAAGTACACTCATTTGCATAACAATTTGGTTTTGACGGGAGACTCACTTGGGACTCGGCTGAATCTCTCGCTTTAGAGTATCATAAAAACGAGAGATTAAGCCAGGTTCCAGTGAATCTCCCGTCAAAACCAATTGGTATGCAAATCAGTGTATTTCTCTACATTATCTGAAGACACTTGATCAGACGTAGTGGAGAGGCGAAACCCATAGGTAGTAAGCCGAAAAACCATTTGCTGTTGCTAACATCACCCAACGAACCTCAAAGAAACTAAGTCCGACCACCCACTGCACCTTCTAGACTCTAAACCAGAAAATTGTGGAAACACTTCGCGTGCTCACCTTTCCAAGTTTCTGCGCATCAAACACCTCCTCACCCTCCATGTCAGACATGCTTACAATCAGTTGTCCGCCTGTGGCCTTGGCCATATTCTTCAGATCACTTTTTTTACACCGTCGCACAGCCATCGCATTGGCTTCCACGAAGTATTTCATGCACAAATCGTCGATTCCTCCCGTTGTTAGAATGACATTAGCGCCAGCAGCAAGGATTTTTTGGATGCGCTCTTTCGTAATGTCCAGTTCACGCTTTCTTATAGCTTCCAATTGATCCGGGTCATTAACGACAACCTAAAAGTAAGAGAACATAGTCGGTAAGACCAGTAACTTGTAATGTAAAATAAAGTCTGAATTTGGCGATAACGTACATATTTTATTAATACCTTGAATAAAGAGTAAAAACTAAAGCACTCAATAACGGGGTACACCGCTCAACGTCATGCGAATAGCACATCACGAACTTGTTGCCCAAACAACCCCCATTGGCTGTATGGGAGCGCTTCTTACTAAGGTAAGGACCGATTGATTGAAAGGCACAGATATATGGAAGGGGTATTCAGAACTTAGTAAAAGGACCCACGGACAGTAGTGATCGTCGATCAGGCTCTATCAATCTACAGTCGTAACCACTAGACGGGGGCTTTCTGCTGAGTATCCACTTCAGATAAGGGATTACGAGCTTCGTACTTGGTGATTTGGGTTTTACTTAGCTAAGAGCGCCGGGAGGACCAGGGGGTTAGTGGAAGCTTAGTGTACCTGAAAATGTATTGCACAAAGTACTCTGTTCTTGAGAATCACATGCTTTATTTTTTAATGGTGAATACCAAGAAGCAATAACAGTGGCACGCACACTAAAAATTTGTGTATTACTAAACAACGAATGGCTACGTAGTGAACGCGATAGCTTTGCTCCTAGACCGCCATCGGCTGCGTGACAGTCATTTCTGTCAGTCACTATCCACTGGTTTGTCCTGTCCCCCGTTAGGGGAGATGGCAACTACCAACGTGACTAAAATGACTGGTAAGGGCTTTCATGCTAGCCATGGACTGACCGCCTCTCGGTCTCTCCATCCGACAATGCTGGGTGGAGAAGGCTATATGGGGTTAACGGTCCTCTGGTATACGAAGTGCATGGCCTAGCAGGAGTAACTTGTAGTGTTCGACCAGCTGATCTACTGAGGGAAAGTGAACTTTTCTGAAGATCATCTGGTGTATCCACCAGACCAGCGTAATGCTTCGGAGGCACCAATGGTCAGACAAAGCTTCGGGAGATCTTACGCATGACGTCTCGAACACCCAAGGTATCCTCAGTCTACTTTTCGATGACAATGCTATATGGTCGTCGGTAAAAAAAACAAGCAAACTAAGAAATAATCAGGAAACCAGCCGCTTAGACGGAACAAATAATACGCGTTCACCTCAACATAGAGGAATCGCGATTAGACTTGCTTAGCGTAGGATTCAAACTCCAACTAGGATGAACCAACAAGAGCAATCAAATCAGGTACATGGATGAGTTGGAAAACGACCGTGATGTGACAAGACATCAAATCATTCTTCCGGTAGGCAGAGCCAGCAGGCAATTCATAGATGACGGGAGGTTTCAGATACAGTCGTGAGTTTACGAGCGAAAATGGAACCACGAACCTTCTCCGCCATGTGCTCGCACCTCAAGTATCTGCGCTGACTCGAGCTTGGTTTTGTCGTCAAAACTCGACAAGATAGAGCACACACTCAAGTTATTTATGACTGGGATACTCAAAAAGTTGTCAAAATGCACATGGCACACTCAAAAACCGACTCCTCCCCATATAAACTGGTGGCTCGTTGAGTAAGGTGAATGGTCATTTTGGTGAAGGATGTGACACTGAATTTAGGTCACTCCAAGACACTTGTTTGATAGGAGTGTCCCGTTTTGGTGAAGTAAGGATGTGACACTGAATTTAGGTCACTCCAAGACACTTGTTTGATAGGAGTGTCGGTTGTACGGCAGCGAAGAACTAGTGCCGAACACTGACGTCATACTGTGTTCGAAGCTTTGCTAGCAGTTACACGGTTGTGGGAAAGGTTCAAGCTTACGAGCACACGGTAATCTCAGTTTGTCCAACAGAATACCTTAATGGAAGGGGGGTCTGTGCCCAGTTCCCCATTAGACTATGGGGTAAGGCTCACATAGTTGACAAGAAATCGACCCAAGTGCGTGGGTGTTGTTGCCGGAAAGTCAGAAGCATCGAAAGAGACGTGCACCATTTCGCCAGTGTCTCATAATCCAAAGTTCAGAAAAGCGTAAACACTTAAGGATGTACACTGAAGCGAGGTTGGTAGGATGGTTATCCTGTAGCTGCCTACCAGCAGTTTATAAGAACATTCACTGCTTCGCAAACTATGACAACCGGTGTTCAAAACAAGCGAGGATTTCAACTCGAATGTTCTACCTAAAAAACATAGAAAAGCAGTGGGAACACTACGGTTCTGGTCATCAGGTATGAAGAACTGGCCGGCCTGAAGTGCATATAGCTGACAGCTGATAAGAATATCACGCCCAAGAATTTTACTTATCACCGAGTCATCATCATCATCATTGTCAGCTGTAGTAACCGCGTACTCATCGTATAGTGGTTGTAGCTGCCGCCGGTTAGGCCACCGATGATT